TGGGGGTGGGTAATGAAAACCCCAATTTGTCTATGTGGAGCCTAAGCTGATGCCTGAATTTACAGTATCAGAAATACTGTCTGAGATACCAATTTGAAAAGAATGAGATGGTATTGAAGTAGAAATGCAACATCTAAAGAGGAGATAGTAGTTGACACTGTGTCTATAGATGAGATTATACTAGATAAAAGTTTTAGGAGGAAAAAAGACCAAAAAATTCTTCAGAAAGCACAGAAGAAACCATGAAGTTGTTCATTTGAATGACATCCAGAGCAACAGTTAGGGACATCAGGATACGTCTGTGCCAGGGCAGCCAAAATATCAAAAGTAAAAACTCCTAAACATGAAAAACTATTGGTATGTTTAAAAGGATGAAAAATGAACCCACTTCCTGAGGCCTGAATAACTGCAAATGAAAGAGATTTAAAGAGTTCCATTTACACATTTTGAGTGCAAAAGGTAAAAGCCATAAAGAAAGGAAGAGAAAAACTTCATGCAGCAGTTTAAAGCTACTAAAGAACAACAGGAAAGCAGGAAGATGTACTGGTGGCTAAGGGAAACAAGAGGGCTACTTTTTCCTTTGTGAAAGGAAAAAGTGGTGAGAATGGGAAGAGAATGAAACATCAGTGGGGAAATGAGTCTCTGAAGGACTGGGAAACTCTGAGATGCATGTGGCTTTAAGGAGAGTAGAACAAATAGACAGATTGAGCATAACCATTTTCTGTGCTTCAGTGATGAAGTAGGGAAAGGAAGGGAAAGCAAAGGAAGAAGAAAAAAATAAAATTGTTATTATGTCTTTCTATTATGCCATTATTTCTGCTGGAGAAATAGGCATATGGAAAGAAGAGAAAGGAGGATTTGAGCACTGGAGTTGAAATGACAGTCATGGATGTTATAAATAAATGGTAGAATAAAAGATTTATAACTAGAAAATGGGTAGAACATAATTAATTTGTTGTGAAAAACAGGAGCTTTTCTCAGTGTAGGAAGAGGATGATGATGGTGAGAGGTGGTTCTTAGGTTTAGTGGTGGACTTGGAAGCACTAGGTTAATGGTTGGACTTGATGATCACAAGGATCTTTCCAACCTAAATGCTTGCATGATTCTCAAAATCAAGGCTGAGGTTAGACTAAAGTAAGAGAGAATAACAAATGAAAAATAGATGTGCATGAAAGAGCAGTATTTGAATAATTACTGAAATAAAATGAAGAGTTGTAAGATGTTTATAAGAAATGGCTGCATTAAATGGTTTTGTGGTCTCAAAATATACTCTGCTAAAAATGGGATCCTGTGATTGAGAGTACCTGACAGTCTACTGCATAGCATGTCTTAAAACCTTACATGCCATGAGTTCTTTCCCATTCCAAATGGAAGAGGAAGTTCCGAATTCTAGAGCTTCTAGTTTGAAAGGGTAATTTGCCAGCAGGGCTAGGAGACTGTGTATTGTACTGGAACTGGTTTTCATGATGAATGATAAATCTTTGTGGTTTTTCTTGTGGGTTTCTGACATCTATCTAGGCATAGTAAAAATGAGAAAGTCTCATTTACATGAGAAGTGTGGAATAGGAGGAGTAAAGCAAGGAGAGCAGGGCATTTTCATTATCTCCTTTTCATCATTAGCAAATCAGGGAATGCTAAAAATACAATTAAATACACAGAGAAGGCAATCAGCATGGATTTTCATATTATCACAGCTTTTGTCAGCATGGAATGTCAGATTTTTTTGGGATGCCTGTCTAACACAGTGAAATACCTAGGCAGTACTTCAGTGTAATGATATCTCTAACACTCCTATTTGTGTTTGCTGATGCCAGTAACTTCAAGAAAACACTAGTTTGCTCAGTTTCTAGCTCTTACCCTTCTAAATTTAAAACCCTTCTTATCTTTGTTATTTTCCAAAGAAAGTATACCAGTTTCTATTTGTCTTGTTTGTGCTTCTTATGAAATTTTCTAATAGATGGAAGACTATATTCTCCAGAGTTTCTAAGTCTTCCCTTGAGGAACCCACCATATTACAGAGAAGTTCTAAAATACCAGGCAAGTATTGCAGAAATTTTAAAAATGTCTTTTTCCACACAAATAGTTATTTAACTGATGTATTAAAGTACCAATGACAATTGACATGGAGATGTTTTCCATTTTCAGTTTCCGAATTCAATGAGTAATTTAACTTTATCTCATAATAGAATGCGGAAAGTTAGTTTCTTTCTGAGTCAATGATCAAAATCGATATTCTGGACTGAACTGTCCAATGTGGCACTTGTGATGTGGCATTTACATATGAAATCAGGTTTAAACAATTGCTCATTTTCTTTAAGGAATCTCAAACATAGCTTGAATAGGGAGAGTGATCGTGTTCCAAAAATTACTGTCTCCTACCCTATGTCTGGGAAATATTCTTGTTAAACCACATGAAGAGGGGATACAGTGACAGAATGAAATGTGTAAATTGAATGGTCTACGTGTTCGTAACTACATGTGATTGACATGCTCTCAGTCTGACCCTACTGGGCAGAAATCTAATCAACAGTCCACAAACATAAGAATGATTCAACTTGCCCTTAAATAGACCACAGGAGATGAACAGGTTCTCACAGATTTCTGACAGAGAATGGGCATCTTACTTCTGCATAGGCATGTGCTGCTATCTGTCCAAATTTAAACATCTATCTGGAGCACACTCCCAACATAGCAAGAAGTGGGAGATGTCCATTGTAATGGTAAGTGCAGGATGAACTAGTCTGCAGTGCCTACATGAGCATTCTTTTCCCATTAAATTCCCCACTTAGAACTGATTAGAGTAAGACCAGAGTGAACTCATGGGGATTGCATGACCTGGGGCACGTATCTCAACTCTGTGAGGTTTATTCCCATTTCAATCTGATTAATTAAGCAGTCAGGTGCACAACATCACATTTTCTGATATGACTTGTAACTTCTAGCCTAATGCTTGTCAGAGATTATTGTCACCCAGCACTCAGTATGGTAGTGGGTGAAGAATTTGAAAAACTAAACTTCTGATTTTGATGCATCCCAAAGTTAACTGCTGTTCTATTACAGCTTTGGTAGCTGTTGAGAAAGGATGTACCAGCTAGACATACAGGAAATTTTTGGTGATACGTTTGCCAGGCCACTGAAATGTATGGGCATGTAGTAGACGCTGGATATACTGAAAGGTGATTGCTTTGGTGAGAGACAAACAAAGGAAAACTTCTTCCCAAATTTCTGCTGAAAAAAGCCTCTATTCATTCAAGTTTCCAGACTGTATGCCAAATCCTGCTTGCTCCAGACAATTTTCCATTCACTTACTTGGGAGGACTCTGCATGTGTACAATTGCAGGAGAGTTGATACTTTAGCCCAGATTCAGGTTTTCATCAATATGTGAGTATCTCTGTGCTGCAGTTCCATCAAGATTTTTTGTTTCGCCAGGAAGAAATAATTATTATTATTATTATCTTAATAGCCTCTTGAATATATTTCAACAAACCTCTGTAAGAGTTCTTTATTTAGTGATGTTGATGTCTTTTAGTGATTAAGGAGCAGACCCAAACTGTCAAGGGTACAGAATAATTCCATGGCTTTCAGGAAACTACAGGTCTGTGTGGTTCACACACGAGTGACTAAGCTGTTTGGCAACACCAGGGTAATCAAAGATCCTCGTTATTTTATTATTAAATACTGCTTTGGAGTTTCACTTCAGTCATGACTTTATGTTTTCCTTTTGTCCATCTTTTTCTTATGGAACAGTGGCAGTTGTGGTTTTCCTGTGTATGGGAGGAGAAGCACGTGGCAGTCAGAGATAGGGAATGCCCAGAGGCTGCTGAAGACAGAGGCTGAAGACAGGGTTGATATTGATATATCAGTATATGTTGATAAAGCTTGTTTAAATGGCAGGGGTGCGGGAAAAATGAGTATGCTGAAAAGGCTAGAAGATGTTCAGATCTGTGGGTAGAAGTAGAAACTCTGGGACATGTTTTAATTGATCTGGCAGATACAAATTATGTGAGTTGTGCTAGACAAAAATGACATCTATGCATGTCTATGCAGATAGAATATAATATATGCACTTTAATAAAAGGATTCAAGTGAGAATGGACTTGTTTCCTGGTACAAACATGGTTCAGGTGTGTATGGGGAAAGAACATGTCATCAAACCTTTTACATCTGCCCTGTGTTTTCAGAGGTTCACTGTGCTTTGAACACGGGGTTAGGAAAACATACTTGCTTCTAATGCTGCACAGAGTTAAAGGAGAAACAGTCTGAAGAGACTACAGACTTCAAATAAAAGGCTCAGATAACGCAGCATTTTTTGGAGGTCAAAGAGGTGCAGAGTCCAGATTAAGCACTCTGCAATGTGTAAATGCCATGCCACGTATGTTGGAGTTAGGCTTGAGTGCTGCAGGGGGAAGCTCATGTCTGCATCCTGTTTTGGATGGAATATTGTTTGTTGCAGGAAAGCAATTGCCCAGCCCCAATTGTTTTAGCGATGAGCTGATCGATACCCCATTACTGGATGTAGCAGTTGCTGCAGGAAGTGCACAGAAAATTTTAATGCATGAATTATGCATGCTGTCCTCATTCTTTAGTCTCAGAGCATAGTGACAGAGATTGTAAAGATGACTGGGGTAGTTTCTTGCATAAAGTGACTGCAGTGAAATGCTTCATATTTTCATGCACACAAGCAGCATTGAGTGGGACGGCCTATTTAAGAAGATATAAATCCCTGAGCTTACAGCACGGAATGCTTGATTTGAAAGCTTTGCAGCCATGTACAGAGCCAGTTTTCTTGCTGTCTAAACCTGCTTTCTACTGAAGGTTGGCTGAGGGATGCTAACGGCTGTGCTCTGCTCTGAGGTCACAGTTTGAAGTCCTTTTGTTTTTCTTTTTTTTTTTTTTTTTTTT